ACTGCGACGTTTTATGTTTCTTGCTTGACGAAAGAAAGTTATAGGCTAAGTTGTTATTTGTGTAGACAGACATAGATGAGTATTTACACATACACATACTACTGGAACCAACGTTCTAACGGCCATAGTCCGTACTCGTCTCATCTTGTTACACAAGCTTGTTAAGTTGAAATGTTTCCCTAGGGGGTTCGTTGCTCTTAACTTTTTGAATTCTTAATCTCTGAGGACCCCCTCCCTCAAATTTCTACACACAGGAATATTTGGAAAGAATCCTAAATCCGAAATTGCAGGAAGCGAAACTACCGTTTCTGTAAACAGTATTTAGCTGTTCTTGGAAATTTCCAGAATAACCCAGCCGCAATCTCAACCTAGATTCTCATAGCTCTCTCGCCGAGTCTCTGTGTGCACACGCGTAATTGCGGAACTGACTTGGCCTTATAGACGTATATGCGCAACATTCTCGTCGCCGTCAACCCTTACCAGCTGTTGCCGATATACGGCATTGACCAGATCTACCTGTACCGGAATCGGCGCATCGGTGAGTTGCCACCTCACATATTTGCTGTCGCCGATTCGGCCTACTCGAGAGCGATCGAACACGGCAGGGACTTCTCGATCGTCATCAGGTATGTTTGGGCAATTCTTTTGCCAAACTGACCTCCGTACGTTGTATGCTGTATCTTGTTGTGCAGTGGTGAATCAGGGGCAGGCAAAACCGAAAGCATGAAAGTGATCTTGCAATACATGGCAGCTGTTTCCGGCAAGCATACGTGGATCGAGCAGCAGATCATCGAGGCGAATCCGATTCTTGAAGGTAGGCGCTTTCTGCAACTATCGACTTGAGGTTCGTAAACTGTGCCTGGCAAATGTTTTAAGCATTCGGCAACGCGACCACCGTTCACAACGACAACTCGTCGCGTTTTGGACGCTACATCGTTTTGTACTTCGACGAGAACGGTTTCATTTCCTGCGCCAAGATCAAACATTATATGTTGGAGAAGAGTCGCATCGTGACTCAGGTGAAAGATGTTGTGGTCGTTCGACAAGTGAACCGTTTTCTCGTTTTTTCCTTGCAGTCATACCACGAAAGGAACTACCACATATTTTACTCGCTTCTCGCTGGTCTGTCTGCGGATGACAAGAGACAGTTGGATCTGCACGATGCTTCCGACTATTATTGCCTGACACAGGTACGGTATGATATCTGGAGCATCGAAGCAATTGCCAGTGTAACTAACTTTGAAACACGATACAGATTGGGAGGGGGGAGGGTGGCAATAAAAGGGTTGGTCGAACAGTGCACGGCCAATGTAAAACCAAAAAAAATGTCCATAACATTATGCACAGCGCAACATGATGGCCTATAGTCGACAAACCGATGCCGACCTATATGCCCATGGCTCATGGACTTCCTTTAATGTAACGATGGTTTTCTCGGTTGTTGTGGGGGTCATCTGCAGCAGACTGTTCAGAGTCGAGAGATTGTACGAAAATTAAGATTGAATATTTGCGTCGTCTTCGTGTGGTAACAAAGTTCTAGAACCACGTCGAAGAGTTTTAATACCCATCCACGTGATCTTTGAAAAGACAGACCGTAAAGGGAACCTGTTGCATATTTCGGTAGATGTTGATCAGATGCTTGAGTTATCTCCTAGCGATCGTCGTCGAGTCTACCGACCCAGTTTTTTGTTTAGAGGTTTTATACGCCTGCATTTGCCTATTAAATTTTTATTTCGCATGGTATTTAGTCGATGCCAAGTTATTAAGTAACGGATAAATGCTCCAAGACAAAATTTTGTGTTGCATTATACCGCCCAGTTGCTGCTAGTGGTTGTAGCATTTATGCAGGCGACGGCTTCCGGAGACCGAACGGCTCATAAATTGCTAATGGTTTGTCAATCGATCAAAAGAATTTAGTGCTCAGATTATCGGATTTAGCACAGGGCTAGCATCTCAGCAGTTACTGATCCATTGCTACAATAATATACATAATATGCGCAACAATCAACAAGATCCATTATAAAAAAACAAGGAATACAGAATGAGGAAGAAGAAACTGATTAGTGATAGAATATATGATTAGCATGAGGTGTTTGATTCGAGCTGATACCACCTTCCCTGTTTTTCGTTCTCTATAGTCTGTGCCTTCAGTAGAATCGTAGATATTCTGTATGTTAAAGTCCTCGTGTAGATGCAGACATATTGGAACATCGTGGTATGAGATCTCGATGAAAGAGTTTGGTACAAGAAATTGTGTGAATTGGTTAGAATAGATTTACCTATGGATCGAAAAGCCTGATCTACCACGATATTTATGACATTTATGTAGGACAGCTGACGGGCTCTGGGTTCAGTTTTCAGAGCTGATCCAAATTTGCATAGATCAACTTTATGAGGGGAGAAGAAGTATATTTGCGAAGCATATGTAATTAGACGATGTATGCTGGTTCTGAGAAATGGTTCCTTGATTCCTTTGCCAGTTTGTAATGAACTTAGACTTCTCGAAACATGGTTGCATCGTCGTGTTTTAATTTTTACGTTTTCTGCGTTATTATTCAAGTGCGGACTTTCGTCTTGTGACGAAACATAGCATCGTTGAGAAAGATGTTTAAATTTCAGCTCTGCAGCGAAATGGAAGGGGCGAGGTGGTTGGTTATTCTAATGTAAAAATATTAGCATTCATTTATTTTGCTCCGATTAATGAGTAAACCATTTTCCCTGTCCAATCCCGAATAGAAATGACTACACGAGAATACTTTGTGAGATAATCTACTGAACTAACTGTAAAGAGTACCAAAGTGTCATCGGCATATTTTATGTATTTATTCCGAGAATTGACTTTTACGTATTAGCGTATAATGCGAATAGAAGCGGAGATAGGACCGATCCCTGCGGAATTCCTAAGTTGTTTGGTATATGATGTGCTTCTATTGATTCCTACGAACTGAGTGCCGTCAGGCAGAAAATTAGCCAGGCAGCGCATGGTATTTCGATCGATATAGAGAAAACGAAAAACTGCCAAGAACTGCTCACGACGCACGGCGTTGAACGCTCTTCTGAATTCCAAAATGTGCAACGGGTGCGGTTTCCGATTTCTATTCGATGTCACGCGTCGTAAAATAACAATAGAATCTCCAATTAACTCTGTAGAAACTTAACTTTCGCTTGCCATGTGAAAAGTGTCGAAATATGTAAAATAATATTGATTCAAACTGATAATCGTATGCGCCGAAGTGTAATATGTAATATGCCCCGTCTAGCTAGCAAATGACGTCAGGTTTTGAACAGCTGAAGTACGGGTATCATTTTGCTTTAGGGCGAATCCGCTGGCAGAAATGGACGTGAAGAGGTGCTGAGCTACATGGAAATCAAAGCGGCGATGAAGGTCCTGTTCTTTTCGGACATTGAGATTTGGTCGGTTGTCAAAGTGTTGTCCGGTCTTCTTCATCTTGGCAACGTTAAATTCAGCGGTATAGCCGTGCGTTCATGCCAGAATTGAACAACGCTTTCAATTCTTTCAGGGGTCATGGTCAACAATTTGGACGCTTCTGAAATTGTCAGTATGGATTGCGTGTTTAAGGTTGCCAAGCTGTTTGAGGTAACTATACTGAACATTTTTCTTGTGTAATGTATCTTGGGATTGGACTTCATTTCTGACCTTTCAATGCAACTTGCTATTCTGTACTTTACTCTGATTCATTCGAAAGGGAAGTCACTCGTGGATCAGCTGTAAGGTTTTAACCTTATTTAGCGAGAAATTACAGTTGCTCCCACCGTGAATTCGTAACACAATTCAGTCAACCGCGGTTTCAGCTAAATGCTTTCCATTGCGGCAGTATATAGCGGGCTAATGAACCAGGTAAAATAAGGTATCTGTTTTCCGCATTGACTTTAAATCATGGTTAAAGTAAAGCCAAGAAATTGAATGATGTTAAAATTTTATAACGCATAATTCCTACAAGACCTGATGTCA